GTAAATTTTATGCAGTTTGGCAAAGGTACAAAATTCCTGTTTGCTTGTATTTTTTGTTTTCGCGCAAAAAAGTCGTACCTCTAGATTTTGATAGTGGACGTATCAGAAGCGAGTAATTTGAAACAGATTTGCTAAGAAACCCGATAAGGCAGCACGGGCGCGTCGTAGAATGTCTTAACCCGGTCGCAATATTTCCTAATCTAAGAACTTCATTGTGAAGTCCTCGCGTATCAACCTTCTACAAAGTTCTATAACCCGTACTTGGGGAACAGCACCAACAGTATTATGTCCATTACCACTACAATCATCATCTTCTGATATTCTTTTCGGTGATGATGAATCGGAAGCTGGTGAAGTACCGTAAAACGAGGTGACTTTACAACAGCCAGGTGACTTTGTGACACATGGTAGCGGGCGCACCAAATCCTCAATAGTTCGCGCATGTCTCAACTGACAGCCTCGCGATTGCGCTCGAGGCATTACAAGAAGTGCGCGAACGAATCAGTATATCAGTTAATGTTGTGAAAGGAGGCGTCCAGCTGTGAGTGCCGGAAATATTAACAACAGGTAATTTCAATATTTTACTTTTGCTGTAAACTTTACCTTGCCCAGCTAAGACTATCTCATGTAGCCAGGAGTTGAGTTTAGGTAGTGTTCCTTGCAGTTTTGGCTATTTACTGATGAATTAACATTTCAATAATTTTTATCAACAAGCATGTGACGCCATATTTAATAAAATTTCAACAAATTGCGGGGTGAAATTGTGACACAATTTATGTGCTACTGACAAAAAATGGGGTGAGATTGTGACAGTTTTTTTGTGCTTTTTAGCAATGCCATGAAATTACCAGAGGCAGCCAGGATCACGCCAATATAAAAATTATAGTCAAGCGAGATTGGAGGAGGCACTGCGTAGAATACGAGCGAAGGTGATTACCATACGTGATGCTGCGGAGAGGTAAGAATGTCTTCAGTAGGTAAAAAAACAATACTTCAACTTATCTCCTTTTTTTAGATATGGCATTTCCCGGAGCACGCTCTTTTTAAAACTCCATGGCAGACACAATCGTCCTCCTGGTGGTCAAACTGTGCTGACCATAGAAGAGGAGCAATCCCTTATAGCACACGCGATTGCTGTATCCGTTTTTGGTTTTCCCGTGACGGCCCATGACCTGAGATTTATAGTCAAGGCATATCTAGATAAAAGGGGGAAAAAGGTGAGGTTTTTCAAAGATAATTTTCCTGGAAAGGAATGGGTTAGTTCGTTTATGAGCAGACACCACGACGTGTTAGTCAATCGAATGGCCCGCAATATCAGTGTTTCAAGAGCGGCAGTCAACCATGAAGTTATAAACAACTTCTTCGATAATCTCGAAAGGGAGCGGCGCAAAAAAGTTAATGTGCCTCCTTGACGAAGTATCAGTGCTGCTGACGTTGCCGCTGGTACGGCTTCCATGTCAGAACAACAAAAACCAAATCGCAAACGCAAGAACAATCCTTCACAAAGCGACCCTGCACCATCAACTTCGAAGCAGTCGATGCCATCAACATCAAGGCAATCTGAAATTAAAGAGCATTCTAATAAAAAGCGGTTACAGTTGAGAAGGAGTGACAATGACTCTGAAACAAGTGAATAGTCGGATACTGTTTCTTATAGGGAAAGTGACATATCGCCCACGAGTGAGTTTGATGACGTTGATGATGATGATGATACCGCTGTTGCAAAGGATGATCAAAATCCAAAGATTGGGCACTATGTCATTATACAATATGAGGGATCTTTATTTCCGGGTATCATCACCGAGCTCTACGACGACGGGGTTGCTGTCAGTGCCATGGAAAAATGTGGGGCACACTGCAAGTGGCCCGACAGAAAAGACGAGCTCGTATATGAATTTTCTGACATAATACAGCCAAAAATAAATGTACCAACCCAGATTTCTCGACGAGAGATTTTTCGTGTTCCTGAAATGGATGAATACATATGAATAAATTTGAGATTTACCCTATTTTTTGAGTAACCTTATTTTAGATTATTTTTTGAGTTACCTTTATATAGTTTATTTTTTCAGTTACCTTAGTTAAGTTCTAAGTTAGAAATTATATTTTTTTACTTCTATATTTATGTTTTAGAATAATAAACCATTTAAGTTCAATGAAATTTTTTTTTGGGGGCACTTTGTGACACATCAGTTTCATGTTCTCACGACTAGAGGGGTGAATTTAAGACAACCTAATAAAATCTAATAAAATTATACCCATTTGTTTCTTATTTCAGTCATAATCTCGTCCCGCTAAACGACGATTTTGGACTTGTATGCCAATTTTTAGTTGTCACAAAGTCCCCCCATTGATTGGGGTGAGATTGTGACAATTATTTTTGTAAACCCCGGCTATACTTCTAAACATTTTCAAAATATTTCATTGTATTTTAAAAGCCAAATGATGTAAGTTTATCATTGACCTACCAGAAGTCAATTTTCTGTTTTCAGATTCCGGGAAAACAACCGAAACCGTAAAATGTGTCACAAAGTCGCCTCGTTTTACGGTACTGATTAGAACAATAAATTCTTTTTCTAACTAGATACCTACTAAATAAGTTTTTATTTAGAATGCTTAAGTACTTGTTGCACAAATAAAAAATGTTAGATTGAACTGTGTATTATTTACTTACCTTCACATAATCCTTCAGAGCTTCACAGAGTGCATCGCAAACTTCTGGAACTATTCTTGAAATAGATTGCTTTGATACTCGGAAAAGGAATTGCAGGCTAGTATAGGAGTCTCTAGTTGCCCAAAATCTCAAAGTAATAGCTAATCTTTTAGTAACTGAAATCGACTCTCGAAATTGTATGTCTATTTTCTTCACTTTTGGCTCAATCAATAATTTCAAGTGCTCAAACTCTGTAGTTGACATTCTTGTGAAATTTTTTATTGTTTCTTCAATGGCTTCATATCTCATATCACCCATGAGTCTCACACCATACTGTATTTTGTTCATATGCAATCTCTCCATCCACCAACGCACTTTCCGTTTGGGTTTTTTTGAAAAGAATTTGATGCATTACAATAAAAGCGGCAGCTGCTCGTGCACGTGAAACGTCCATGGTTACTTCGCGGAAGCTAAACATCTGGATCGCATGCCGCGAGCGGCAGCCGGCAAATGAAGAGTTTTTGCCGTGCGAGCCTGCCGCGCGCGGCTGCCTCTCGTAATTGATAGGCGGCTTTATGATTCCATGGAAAGTTGCCCTCTTAGAATCAGGTTCTAATGCAAGACTCTGTTCAAACATGACAGATATTGAGTGGTGGATGTCAACATTTCCAATAACAGAAATAGATCCTGTAGCGCAAAGTTGCATTTAACAACTTATGACAGCAGTAAATTCATCCGCAGGTGTGGAAAGGATATTCTCATCCTTCGGATTGGTACATTCGGATCTACGCAACCGACTAGGAGTTGAAAAAGCCGGAAAACGAACTTTTTTAATGAAGAGTCTTGATAAGTAATAAACCTGCATGCTGCATATGTACCTATTTATCATTTATCCAATGAATGGTTTCAGTTTGTTTAACAGAAATTGCATCTTTTGTTATGTTATGCTTTGAGATTTATGAAGAAAATAAAACATTTTTTATTTTTTGGTTGTGTTTTTTGTATTTTATTGAGGTAAATAAAATTTGATTTTTAAGTGAATTAATTCAAAAAAGTCCGAATTAATTCAAAAAGTCGGATTTTTTTACTTTTCTTTAAAAGGCATGACTTATTCCAACCTTGCTTCGAAAGCTTGACGACACTGATAATTAACGTGATATAGACTGTTTTGGCCGAGATCCCTGTGATTTACTTCTCATAAATACCAACATAATTTTATATTTCCAGTTCTAGTAATTTGGATGAAATTGTTCGTCTGAATAGCCGTCGCCGTCGTCAGGAAAGTCAAACAAATCCGGTGGAATCTTCAGAAGTAAATACATGTAAATGGTGTCCTGAGCACCAAAAAAAAAATTTTAGTTTTCATAATAAAAATATTGGTTTTAAAATTCTGGCTAACTAATAAGTATAATTTTTAGAGGAGTTATGGGGGCTCATATTAAAAAAAATTACTGTGACATGATCGCAATTATACCAAATTTCTGAGGACATACAGGCACTAAAACTAATTCATCCCAAACCTGTAGTACCAGTGTTTGAAAAATAATTACCAACCAGTGTTGCCGATTGCCGCATAATTATGCGATTTCCGCATAATCTAGAAGGGGTCGCATAATTTCCGCCTTTAAATAAAAACCGCATTTTTCCGCATTTTTTCGCACTTTCAGGATATTTTATAACATCACCTTCCTTGAAATGTGATTTTAGGAATCAAAAATGCTTATACGATTTAGAATTGCTCAATTTTTTTGATGGAAATTATACAGTTCTGACTCCCGTATTATCACAAGAAGCGCGTTCATAAATGCTTAAAAAGTCATCGCTCTGGAGCACTACAGACAGAAGCGCTTCAGTTCAGTTGTGCCCTAGAGCGCTCGAATGTGTGAAAGCACCTATTTCACAAGATCGCGAAAAAACCTAAACGTCACATCGGTCGTTTTGATTTGACTTGCCGTTGCCGCCAATGAATGAACTATCTTGGGGAATCCCCGAGCCGAACTAAACTTCGTAGTTCGTTATTATTGGTCGGGGATTTTTGACAGTTTTACTGGATCGACTGATCGAGATTTGCTTGCATTTGGTACATCTTGGAGGTCATGAATTTGCCAACTGTATGGAATTTTGATTTGTTGAAACAGTGTCTGCGATAGTGTGTTTTATAGGATTACTCTAACCGCTGATTGATAAAAAAAAAACGAGCAATGGATCGTTGGCTTTCTAATGCGAAGGTACGTTAAAATTTAGCTATAAATATAAAGGGTTAGTAGGGTAGAAATGTTTTTCTATTACTTTTTTGTTAAAAAAACTATAGATATTTTTATTCTTAATCTCTGTTAACATTTCCTAGGCAAAAAAAAACAACGAAATTTCTGAATCCGCCGGGAAGGAACCTCAACCAGGCTGTAGTTATCAAAATACGGATATCGCGTCTTGTTCTCCTAATTTTCACAATGATGAGGATGAGGATCAATTAATGGAAACGGATAATGTTGATGTTGATGTTGAGTCGGAAGCAGAGCGAGCTGTGAGTATTTTAAATTTGTACTTACCGTTTACTAAAACTTTATATATAATTATTCAGATCGATATTATGCCGACTTCAGCAGCCAAAAAACAAGGGCCTTCAGGATCGAAAAAAAAAAGACAAAAAAAAATTTGTCGCATCCTGGTTTCAAATGCCTATTTTTCAGGGATGGTTAGAAAAATCCTCGAAAGCCCCAAATCAAGACAAAAATGAATTCGCCTTCTGCAAAGTGTGCCAAATGGATATAGTTGCTCATAAAAGTGTTCTTGTAAGCCACTCAAAAACTGAAAAACATAAATTAAATTATCTTCGAGGAGCTAAAAATACAAAAATCGACGACCTTTTTAAGGGGAAAACTGCAAATGACGTATCGGTTAAAATAGGTGAATTGAAACTATGTTCAATGTTGGCAACTAATGATCTTTCGTTTTTATTAATGGACACATTAACTCCGCTGCTAAAAAATGTCTTTCCAGATTCCAAAATTGCTCAAGACATTCAATTGAAGAGAACAAAAGCAACCGCAGTGTGCAAAAGTTTAGGGGATAATTTTCTTTTTGATCTATATTCAAAAATTAAAGACCCTGGATCATTTTTCTCAATAATAATGGACGAAACAACGGATATTTCCGTTAAAAAACAATGTGCTTTCACTGTCATCTATTTTGATAATATTGATAATAAACCAAAAACTAGATTTTTTGATTTAGTAGAACCACAAGGTTCATCTGCTGTGGAACTTTTCACAGCATTGAAAGAATCTGTTGTGTCGAAAAATATTCCTTTTTCCAATTTAGTAGGATTCTCATCGGATACTACAAATGCCATGGTTGGTGAATACAATTCTGTGTTCTCTCATTTAAAAGAAGAATTGCCCAGCATTGTATGCATAAGGTGCTCTTGTCATATGGCACATCTCGCCACCTCCAAGGCATGTCTCCAGCTTCCTAGGCGTGTAGAGGACTTATTGCGAAACATCGGGAGTCATTTCAATAGGAGCGCCTTTCGAAGGCAAAAATTTGAAGAGTTCCAACATTTCTTCCAAGTGGAGATCCACAGAATTTTATCACCAGCCATGACAAGATGGCTTTCTGTTAAAGAAGTAGTCAATAGGGTATTGGAACAATATGAGCCATTGAAGGCCTACTTCACAGCATCTGTTTTCGAAGATCCATCCCTAACTACCGAAACTATGCTAGAAACAATGGTAAATCCTTTCAGTAAAATTTACCTCGAATTTATGTCATATTCATTGGGAATCATGACAGATTTCAATGTTCTTTTTCAATCCGAAAAACCTCTTCTCCACAAGTTGAAGCCTGAGACAGAAATGCTACTTAAAACTTTGTGCTCAAATTTTATAAAAGTATCAACAATCAGGAATGTGCCAGATATTTTCACATTTAATCATCAAAACCCGTTAAATTTTATTCCTTTGGAACAAGTTTATTTGGGCATATCAGCAACAGAATCCATATCAGAATTGAAAAAGTCAGCAAACATTCAGGAAAAAGAATTTTCCATTTTTTATAAAACAATATTGTCATTTTACATTCAATTAGTATCGGAAATTAAAGAAAGGTTTAAATTTGAAGATCCCATTTTTAAAATTGTTGAGGTATTAGATCCAAAAACAGCTCAAAAATTTGAAATCAAATCTCTGGCACATATTATTAATAGATTCCCAGTTTTAAAAGAGTACGTTAATATCCAAGAGCTTGATAACGAGTGGCGAAGACATGCTTTGCTGAATTTTGAAGAACTAAATCTTAACTTGAATGATGCTGAGCAATATTGGTCAGACATACTAAATATGAAAAATGATGCCGGTATGCCATTGTTTCCTAATCTAAAACCCGTCCTAGCAGTACTTCTTGTTTTGCCGTATTCGAATGCGACTGTAGAGCGTATTTTTAGTGATCTTTTCAATATTAAAACTGACAAAAGAAATTTATTAGATACAACCACTATTAGAGCCCTTTTAGCAACTAAGGAAGGGGTGAAAGAGAGTGGAGGCTGTACTAAATTTCAGCCTTCAAAGCGAATGTTGTATCAGAAAGTATGGCAAAACAAAAAATAGTTATAGTAGTATAAGTTTTATAATGGTGGCCTAAGTGGATGGCGTTAATGCTGCCTGAAATTAATAATGACTGACCCTGTAAATTAATAAATAAGTGTTTAGATAATAGTACCTACTGTATTCTGTATTAAAATATGCTACCTATTACATTATTTGAAATCATTTATTTATTTAGTAGAATACACCTTATTTTCACATTGTAAATACATATAGGTAATAGTACGGGATACGAGGCCTATTTCATCAAATCATTTTACACCGTCTTGCATTGTTATCATAAGTTAGATAACATGGTACTGAAACGCACTTGTACAGAGAAATAGATGGGAGTGGGGGATTTCGCTGAAAAAATTTTTTCAGAAAATGTCGTCATAAACGAGGAAAATATATAATTATACACCGTCTTGCATTTATTTATTGAGTTAATTTGTACACAAACAAAATCGGATTAACACATGCAAGACGTTTTCATGGGGGCTTTGGGGTTGCAATAGAAGATGGAAATTGTCAATTTGTAAAAGGGGTGAAAAATCATTTTACACCACTCCATTGTTGATTTAGATTAAAGCTTGAATGTATAATAGCTACTGGATACTGATACAAGACGTCCTATTGAGGGATAACGGGCTGCAAGACGGATGTCAATGTGTTGTCTCATGAGAGAGTGAAAAATTATTTTACACCACTTCATGCTTATGTCCGCCGGAAGAATATATGTTAAGAAATGGTAATACATCAGTCCAAGACATTTTTTCGGGGAAAAAAGTGAATAAATCCGTTTTCTTTTTTAACTGAACTGTTGAGTTATTTACTGAACCGTTCACTGTTCATTATTTTCTAAATCATACAGATGGAAAAGGACAATTGACATAGCAGCTCAACAGGGGAGTCTGCTGAATACAGGAATTATAATTTCTGTTTACAATTCCAGACAGATCATTTTTGTTGTGTCATTTTTTCGCAGCTTTGAAATCAAATTTCTCAAATTTACCTAATACTTACAATCCGTTATGTTTTATGGCATATCCACCTCAAAAAAAAAAAAAAAAATAATATAAGTCGTCAGAAAAAGAACAATTTTCAACCTTTTTTTATTTGGTGTCCGTAGAGTTAAAATATACATATTATTAAGAGAATTTTGCAAAATAGAATTATTATATGTGGTAAAGAGCAAAAATATTTAAAATAAATGTGTGTAATTTGTAACTTGGAGTAGTATTCACCTTTGTACCTGATGGATTGACCCCCGTCAAAATTAGTCAACTTCATCACCGTCTTGCAGTCTTTTCCTTCCATTTAGAACGTCTTGTATTTTTAAAAATGTTATCAATGTGTTCTGTTTTTCCCATTAGTACCAGTGCAAGACGGTGTAAAATGATTTCTCACTCCTTCATAAGACAACACATTGACCTCCGTCTTGCAGCCCGTTATCCCTCCACAGGAGGTCTTGCATCAGTATCCAGTGGCTTTTCTACATTCAAGCTTTAATCTAAATCAACAATGAAGTGGTGTGAAATGATATTTCACCCCTCTGAAAAATTGACAATTTCTATCTAATATAACAACCCCAAAACCTCCATGAAAATGTCTTGCATGTGTTAATCCAATTTTGTTTGTGTACAAATTAACTGAATAAATAAATGCAAGACGGTGTATAATTATATATTTTCCTTATTTATGACGACATTTTCTGAAATATTTTTTTCAGCGAAATTCCCCACTCCCATCTATTTCCCTGCACAAGTGCGTTTCAGCATCATGTTATCTAACTGATGATAACAATGCAAGATGGTGTAAAATGATTTGATGAAATAGACCTCGTATCCCGTACTATAAGTAGAAAGTAGAAAGTACAGAAAAAATATTTTTATTTACAATATTCATTTTAAACACTTTCTATTTTTGGTGAATGCGCAATTATAAATAAAATTACTTGCTAACAAGGTGATGCGTATTTTTTCCTTCATATTTTATGAGAAAATGTATTTCAGCAAAAACCGCATAATTCTGATCGAAATCGCATTTTTTTTGTTCCGAGAGAGCATTATTTTGTCAAGAGCAGTTGGCAACACTGTTACCAACACAAGTTTATCAGCTCATTCCTATGCTGGCACATCTCTACTTTATGTCAATGTGTCTGTCAAGTGAAGTGTCAAGTGTTGTATTAAAAAGAGAAGAGAAGCAAGATTATTATTGATCGGCAACGAACGTTTAGATTTTAGTCAGTCACGTCTCGTTTCAAATTAAATAATTAAAAATAATATTAGTCATTGGCTCTTCCTTCGAGGAATCCAAGAACCAAGTTGTTGTCAAGTCGTGAGATTAGTAGTTTTGTGAATTTAAATAAAGCAGACTTTTCTGCAAGAAGAAACAAGTGGTTTTAGTTCATGCAGCCATTTCCCTCAAATCTTGATCAGCCAGAAGAAAGGCCTCCAGAACCAGAAAATTCTTAATGTAAATATTCTAACAACCAGAATCCGAGTTATTTTGATTTTCCTTTGAGCTCAAAGGAGTCATTGGAAAGTATGAATCAATATTTGACGGACCAGAATAACTTTAATCTTGCGATAAGTTTTTATGACAAATCTTATGTTTCTATCATAACTCAGTTGTATAATAGCATTTTAGGTTGAATATTTGGTCCGAATTGGAGGCAATTCTGCATACGAGTTTATAAGGCGTGTCCTTTCCCTAACTAATGAACTGGCCAGTCAGTACACCTTTCATGGGTCCCAAGCAAAGAAATCATTCGCAAAATTAGAGGTTTGGCGCTTATTGAAAAATGAGGCTTTATGTATTTCTTTATTGTTTTTAGTTGCAGTATCTATCTACTCATCTAGTCATTAGTTTTGGTTATCATTTATTTTTATTTCTAGCAGCTGCATCAGAACAAAATCCATCGGTGGCCGACCACAAAGCCACAGAAAAAAAATGTGAAGAAATGGATCCGGCGAGCCAATGAAAGAAATGCATATGAACAAATAAGTTACAAAAATAGATGTAAATTCATTTTATTTTGTAATTAATTTAATTTGTTTATTATTGACATATTTTCTATATGGAAAAACTTCTAAAATTATTATTGTTTTTACCCTTTGAACTTTGTTCGTATTTTCGCCATATTCTACTTAAA